CCAAAATATGTGTGTAAAAATAAAAAAAAATTAAAATAAAAATGTTACCTTGTTTTATAAAGTATCCTCCCGACAAGTATTTCAGTGCGGACCTGTATTTGATCGTGCGGTCTTGGAGCACCGGCATGCGCTCTCCTGTGAGGTCTTAAGTCACCTGATTCACGAGCCCTTTGTACTACATTAACAAAGGCACGAGGGGTTGGTTGCACTCGATTGGGAAACCGATTCGCACAAATCCGTGATGCCGCGGCAGCATTTTGTAAAGACTCCCCCCCCCCCGTAAATAATAATCATGTCCACAGGTTCAGCATTTTCGTAAACATGTGCCATTTTTTATTTCGTTTGAGAAACGCAACAAACACCACTATTCACTCACGCGTTGCCGACTGACGAAAAACATCGTGATAAACGTTTCAAATTCTTTCGCTTTTTTGTTTCCGATGCGATGAACCGATAAGGCGGATTATATCCGTTGTTGCCAAACACGAGCACATAATATTATTATTGAGACAGGGCGGTACTCAAACTTCTAAAGGGCTATAACTTTGTTACTTTAATTTTACCAGAAAAATGTTAAAGGAAAAAAACATTTCTTTTGATCAGATCTACTCACTGTTAAAATAAATGACTCAACTTCGAAGTCACCCTGTATATGTATGAACCTTATCAGTATCCTAACTAAAACCTCTCCTTCATCTTCATCCAACCTTGCTTATTAGTTTAAGAACCCACTCATACAACATACAATCTCGAACTCGAATAAACTCTACTTAGAGAACTTCAAACAGCACTTTCAACTATAAAAACTTTCACCCATATCATCTCTCAATATGTACATATCATCATGTCAAAAATCAAGCTGGATATTTTATAGTTCGCTTCGCTTTTACGCCAAAAATATCTCACTGCTTGTTTCGCTTTTACGACAAAGACATCATTTGCAAGACATCTATCCAGTGATGGCTGACAGCACGTCTCGAAAACATTTCTACGTTTGTCCAGTCACACGTTTCGGTGGACATTGTTTCGATCAAACGTTTCCCTACATGTTTTACAAATTCGGAATCGCGAGAAATGAAAACTCACGCAGGCTGTTAATTCGATTGAATTGTGTCACACCTCTGACATTAGAACCCGAAAAACCGAAAAATATGAGAATATTTTAAGTTGTATGAAATACCAGCAAAACATAGACCCGAACTTTATAACCATATTTTCAGCGTTCGTGTGCGGTACTCTATATACTCAGTTATTCCAGGCTCTCTTCTTTGTGTTCCTGCAGCCACATGACATAACACATACAAAGCAGATACCTTTGATGCATCGAAACCACCTGACTATAATCGTTAAAATTAACTCATAGGCGGAGGTGTCGGTAACATGATTAACAACAACATCAAACTGTTTTCATTTCTAGGTAGTTTTCTATCTACATCCATAACACAAAATAGTGTTCCATATTTGGTAACTATCTACTGGTGTTTAAAATGATTCAAAAGTCAGTGGTATTATTCACAGAAAACAAAAAGCTCGCGTAAACAGATATCTCTTGGCGGTGTACAACGTGTTTTATATACCATATCTACTTCTACTCAGGTCAGGTTGATTGAGGATATAAATATCCTTTTAATCGCTTCATGTGATATTACTTTTATGTTGCACTCTATACAATTTGCAATGCCTAGCTGCACCAGTCTCAGCTTTTTTTTTTAGGCTGAGCGCTTACATACAGATATCTAAATCTGATCTGAACGAAATGTCGTGAGCTTCCCTCTTACGTGATCGGAAGAGAGGCAAGTCCACTTCTAAAAACGCTCGGTATCCAACACGTTTGACTTTCAGGCATGGATGCTCCAGTCTTGAACAAAGTAACTTTGAAATGTGTGGTGAAACGCGTTCCAGGAAAAAATCGAGCTGAACTCTAGACATGTGTAGCATTTTGTTAAGTCTTCGGGGTGTTCATTTCTTTCTTCAGCGCCTATCAAATTCTGACCCCCCAAATTTCTTCATGTAAGTATCCACTTCCTCGCCCAACAAAGCATTTTCTTGTATTTTTTATATGAACACGTGACTAGAGAGACCTTTTCGATAATATAATACTAAAATCTGACCTTAAGAGAGCACAACTATCATTTCAGAAGCTCTTTCATGGTCATTTTCATGGAGTAAACTGGATCGTCATCGTGTGAACGTTCAATGATGCTATCTGATTTTTATTTCAGTCCTCGTTCATGACAAGGGTCACGAAAAATAGATCACAACGCTGCCGCCCTTTTACGAGTACCCACCCAACTAGCAAAGTAGTGCTATAAGCTTTTGGTAAAAGAACCGTTCAGCCATAAAAGCTCTCTATTGTTGTTGCCTGAACACCAAAATGCTGGCTTAATGTTGTGTGGAATGCAAATTTGCTTTCTGCAATAAATTTGCTCTAAAATGAGGTGTTTAAAATGTTCTTATAGCATACAACACCTTATAGGAAAAATTTTTAACTGTTGCATAAACGTTTATACAACTATTTTATACGGCATATTTGCAAGTTAGTCAAAATGTTTGTGTTGTGGCATCCATGGTAAAGTTTATAAAACAAACCCGAGCCTTGTTGTTTTGCTGTGCAAATTTACTACTTTAGCCAACAAATTGCTCCCAACGGAAGTACTTATACAACTGTTGTTTAGTAACTGTTGAAGGCTGTACATATGCAACAATATTACAACTTTTGTGGTACAGAATTGCTGTGCTCGGCATACATTTGTTGTTAAATATGCTGGTATACAACTTCACCATAACCAAACTTTCTGCTGTCATCTTTTTGTTAAAATGCCATAACCAATGTTTTAAGACAAACCACGCATGCGTATGGGTTCAAAAGGTTTTATCAACTGTTCAAGCAGAAGATACAGATCTGGTACAAATTCTGGGTAAATCATTCGAATCTGTCGGTATATTTCATTTCAGACATTTGTCAAATTGTTGTATAACACCTGCAGGCAACACTAAAATATTCTAATAAACTAAAGACAAAATGGACGATGCCATGATTATACACAACCACCCGCCATATTGGGCAAACATGTATACCTCTATTTAATATTAAATAATCATGTTTCAGTTCGAAATTACAGATATAAAGTGATAAACATTAGTGTAATTGTGTTTAAATATAGGATTTGTGGAAGATTTAACGCAGATAAGGTCAGTTTTCCATCTTAAAAATCTAGACATACTTTTGTTCATTATTAAAATATGAATCAAATACGAAGCCCGTAGAAATTGCGTAACTACTTTGCACGATAATCACAATAAAATTTGCTGCGCAAGTAATTCAGTAGCTCTATATCACAGTGTAGAAGTTTATCATATACCTGTCTATGAAATTCACAATGGCCGATACGTAAGTAAACAAGATGACTGTAATGTGTTAGTCATATATTCTTCACTTCGTCTATACAATACATAAGAAATAGTTTGGTTGCAATAAAGTAGAATCACGTAACATAATAGTTGTATAGTTGACAAAAACTGAATCTTGCACTGACGCAAATATCCTATAGCGGCTGCAAGAGGCTTACACTTTTGTGGTATAACTCTTACCTGCAGCCCTTATACAACCTCTTGAAAGACTGAAGTGTCCTCCTATTAGGTGTGCCCATTCCGCTTGTATGGCTGTTCTAAGAAGGTTTTGCCAATGTTCTTGCAGTATACAATGCTGTGTAAGGAATACTGTATATTCATTCTTGCAACTCTAATAGAAGTGATAATTGTTAGTTGGGCAGTACCTGAAGCGACCAAAGACTGACGATAATATTGAAACTCGACTCGAGCGGACAAACTACATGCAAGTGGTGATTTTGACCTCCAAATGTAACTTGGAAAATGAGGTAGTATGGATGTTTTTTGGGAGGAAAGAGTGATTTTAAACCTAAATGACTCAGTGGTAGCATTAATAGCAGATATTTAACGTAACATCCAAAACATATCATTTGGTTTCCAGGTTGATAGTCGCCTATTTGTCTGGTCGAATCAAACGACATAGATGTTTTAAATTTCTCATTTTTAAGTACAACTGACAATACATTTTGTTTATCCGTCTTCCAGGGGACACTTCGTTTGTTTCTTCTTTCATTTACACATTCCTATGCAGTGTGTTATGACAACGGCCTGAACAGTCGTGTAACATTGTGAGATTGCGCCAACATTGCGATTTTAAGATGGCATCGCTCAAAACCAGCAAACCCCAGAACTGCCCGGGGTAGGTATTATGTTCCCAAAAACACGTACAACCCTCAAAGGCAGCATGAATGTTGTTTTCCAGTGAACAAGATACATCATCCTGGTCCATGGTACCGAAAACGTTATATATGTAGTTTCATTCGACCAAACATGGGGTTTTGGTAGATATTTATTCACTCCACAATAATAAAAATACAGAGTAAGTAAATAAATATGTTTTTTATCTATAGAAGGATAATGAATGTTCAATACAAGGATCAGTTGCTTGTCAGAATGAGTGACATTCCAAAAACAAACAAAAAAGGAAATCAAGGATGTGAATAATGGTACAGAAAATGGTTCTCGTGTGTTTTCTATAAGATTCAAAATATCTTATCTTATACATTCTCAGAATCTTTGTTGCGTCTTTGCATCGATATCTTCATCCGTTATACATATAGCTAAAGATATGTTTTTTGTCTTTGCGTATATGCTTGTCGAGGGCGTATTGGCATCGTTTTTGAATGACTCTTTTTAAGTAGTTTTCCTATATTTCTATTGGTGTCTAGATAACCTGCCTGCTTGGCCGGTTCAAAGGGAGTTGCTGTACCAACTGTAAGCCTGTTATTGGACTCACATTGTTGAAAACCCAGTTTGAAGGCTGATGCATCAAAATATACCAACCTTTAAAGGTTAGTCAGCTAAAGTAGCTCCAAAGCTCATATTTCAGGTCTCACAAATCAGTTCTCTACTCCTAATGTACTACAATATTTATTTTAGGTTGTACTTACCATCTCCATAATTTGGTGGCAGCAGCCTTCCGTATCGTGTGTTTGGAGTACCCCAAACGGGATTTCTGAGGTTGTTGCAGGAACCATCAAATGATCGGTACCTAGAGTTAGTACATGTAGCAGGTGGAGTGCCACAACCCATGCCGGAAGGGTCCAACGCTGATGGGACTTGTTGAGCTGCGAGACGGGGTGGACTACCAATTCCGTTTCCAAAGATCGCATTGCTGCAAAAAATATTCATCTACTAGAAAATTAAATTAACATTAATAAACAATGAAAAACGGTATTACAATGGAAACACATTATATTAGGCAATGTATCACATACTCATACGACTATGTACATATATTAGTTGCTGAATAACGCTGTATCATTTTGAATATTGTAATAACCTTTCAATGAATGTATTTTAAAATAATGGTATTATTGTTGCATTCGAAGCAAGCCCGCGTACAAGACAAGCCTTCTTCGGGAATATACGTTTATTCTATCTGTAAAAACTTTGAATAAACTTTATTATTACTATTATTGATTGATAAGATGGTTTTCGTGGGATAGGCTGATACGTGACTAAAGAACGAAGAATAGCGATGCTCTAGGGAGAAAGGTTGATCAATGTATTTGAAATCCTAACCAGCACCGTAGGGATGAACCTACAAGAATCTGGTAGCAGCATTCGTGACTGGTTTAAATTAAGAAAAAAAAACTGATGGGTATATTATTGACGTTAGAGCTTGTTGAATAAGGCTCCTAGCGATTTCAAAACTTCTGTTGGGTGCAAGGGATTAGCAAATTTTAAGATTCTGTATACGTTTTTGAATGTCTGCCTAGAATTATTAATTGTGGAGCCATATGTTCTAGTTTGGTACTGTTCATAATTTTATCTAAAGGGTAGGCCATCAGTTGTTCCTTTTAGGTAGGTTATTTTGACAGATGGTAACACTTCCATACTCAACTTATTGACAGATATATTGTATAAAGCTTCCACTGTGAGCAATGGATCATTTTAATCTTGAACAAAGGTGGGAAATATTGAAAAACTATTTTCAAAGTGAGTGATGTGATGCAGAAACTTTGCGAAAATTGAGAAAACTACTTGGTCGGAATGAAGCTCCATCCGCGGCTGGTATACGAAAATTCGTGCAAACGGTTCGTGAAACTAGCCTGCTTGTGGATAACAGTAGGTACGAGCGTGTTCGACCTGTACGTATAGCCGAAAACATTGCTGCTATTCACCAGAGTGTGCGTGAACACGCAAAACTGTCAACTCATCACATAGCACAACAACTGGGCATCTGCCGCACTTCTGTGCGGAAAATATTGAATAACCACCTGGGATTATTTCCTTACAAGGTGCAACTTGTGCAAGAGTTGAAACAAAATGACCATCCGCTTCGATAACGTTTCTCTGTGTGGGCTCTAAATCAATAACTGGAAACGGATGTCAATTTTCGTCGCCAAATCGTCTTTTAGGAAGAAGCCCATTTCCATCTGGGAAGTTACGTTAACAAGCAGAACTGTAGGATTTTGGTGTTTTGAAAATCCGCATGTCGTCATAGAACAACCAATGCATCCAAAAGGGTAACTGTCTGGTGTGGGATTATTGGTCCCTACTTTTTTTAAGATGAAGATGGTAACAGCGTGACGGTAAACGGGGAACGCTATAGAGACATGTTGAAGAGATTTTTGTGGCCACTATTAGATGACATGCAGTTGCATAATCTCTGGTTTCAGCAGGATGACGCAACATGCCACACCAGCCGTGAAATAATCGATCTTTTACTCACTAAGTTCGGTCAACGCGTTATCAGCCGTTTTGGAGACGTTCGTTGGCTAGCCCGCAGCTGTGATTTGACGCCCATGGACTACTTCCTATGGGGTACTGTTAAGGACCGCTGTTACACTAACAATCCTCAAACACTTGATGTTCTTAAGGCGGATATCCGTCGAGCTGTTGATGGAATATACCCACAAACCATCAAAAATGTGCTTCAAAATTGGGTTACGAGGATGGACTACTGCCAGGCCAGCCGCGGCAGCCATTTAATTGAAATTGTTCTTCATAAATAATCGAAAGGTGTATTCTTTTGAATAAAGTATCGAGTGTTACATATTATTGAAGATTGTAGTTTTAATAACAATTTAAAAAAGAAACCAACGGTTGGCCCACCCTATATCTCCTAGCTGACTGCCTCATTCATCATCGCCGCATCTAGACCATTGCAATGTCCCACCAAACATCAAATAGTAAGTGTTTTAACGAAAGCACGCACTAGGATAGGGTTCTCAAAATTCCTCCCTCCAAGTGGTAAAGTAGGGAATAAAAATTGTATGAGTGGTTTGCAGGATAAAGCTGATTTATATTTTTGATCTTGTTTTGCTAATGTATATTATACCTACCTTCCATCAAAGGTATTCACTACTGGGGCTGTTTGTTGCTGGAACTGTGGTCGGTAGTAGGCATTTCTATGAGCACCTCCGAAAAATACACTGTATGCAGGATGATATCCTGTAGCACTACAGAGGATAAGCTGGGTTAACAGTATGCCGCAGCAGCATACTATCTTCATGGTAAAATACCTGGAAACAAAGAAAAAGTTGCGTCAGTATCCTCTACGCTCCATTAAGACGAAATTCCCAATGAAGATTTATAAATAATGTAAGTATTTTCCCGTATGCCGAAGAAACCATTTAATTTATTGCCAACTCAAAGCAATAGACTTGGTGACCGTGAAAACGGTTAAGATAAATTTTATGTTTTTGAAGTAGCCGGAACCCTTTGTTTAGCTTGGTTTAACTAATATCGAAAAGTTGCCGCTATATGTCACTTTAGTTCAGATTTAGGTTCTTACAGAAGTTTTGCTCGAGTCCCAGCAGAAAATATTATTTCAATCAGTTTTTGTTTGTGTAGAAAAGCATATTCGTTTCTATCAAACAATTCTTGTTTACTTTTTATATAGAAACTGGTTGATTATGTGTGGCCATATGCCGGACTTTGCCATTTATAATTATCCATGTGTTTTTAAAGTCAATTGAATTGAATTGATTAAAAATCTACACGGTTTTTACTTGGACGCATGTTCACGCATTAATTTTGCTTTGCTGGTATTAGCTGAACCCAATCTAGGTTAAACAACCAGTATCAATAACATTGTAGTTATCAACTAAAATTCTGCAGAGCATTAGGGGCACCGCTTACATAGGGAAGCAAGTACTTTATGAGTTTTCTTACATATCACTAACGAAGGCTTAAAACGCTCGGTAAATATTCGGGTATTTTACTTTTTGTACTATTTGTTGAAGGTTGTCGGGTTCAGTCACTGTTTTAAACATATGGTTTATATGATCCGGAATATAAACTCTCATATCTCACAAAATTTGTCCTCATTCTGACACCGATGTATTGATGTGGATCTCATCGAGTAAAATATACTACCAGCTTGAGACTCTTTTAACTGAAATACGCAGAAGTATTTGGAACGATGTGCTAAGGAGCATTTACACAAGCTCGAATCACGATTTCACAGTGTGGCCCTCAAGCATTGTGGGGTGTGTATGAGTTAAATCATATTGAAATGCACTCGGCTTGCTCAAGCTTGTCTGACTACACGTATTGATAGAAAATTCGTTACTACACGGTATGAAAGCCTTTCAGTATCTTAAGAAAGACAAAAGATGCACTATTCGCGTTCCTGTAACAGGATAGCCTCTATAATTCACTGTGTCACTCAATTAAAGCTCTGGATTATATTTATCTGTTGCCTCTAATGCAACATTTAATGAACTGGCTTCAGATTCTTAGATCATTGATGCAATAAGGTAACCATCTGAGCAAAAAAATGAAATATCTGACATTATTTAATTGAGGAATCCTATTTTATGTAGGGTTTATAAATTCACTTAACATTAAAGCATACTTCACGATATTTTATTATGTTTTGTCGTCTATTGAGGTGAACAGATGATCATGGAGTGACATCTTTGTGTTAAAGTCTGTAATGTTGGCAATAATGAATCGGATGGAACTTGCGTGATACTGAGGATCGTATTCGGGAGGTAGAGAAGATTAACGTAGTCAAAAACTCCTTATTGTTTTATTCTTACCTGAATTGTGATTCTAATTTTATTCATATGAACTTTTCTAAATAAAAGCGTTGTTAGAAATTATGAATACGCAGCGTACAAAAAACGTCCTCAAAGTTGAATGCCATTTGACTGTATATTACTGTATAATCAACTGTTGCTGTAACGTTAGCTCAGTGGTCGCCAACCTGTAGATCGCGAGCTGCCGGTAGCTCGCAAAGGCAGTGGGGGCTCACAACATATTTTAAAAAGCTGTAAAAATCACAGAAGCTTCCGTAAACTTTGTAAATTCTCATAATAAACACAAGCAGCGGCAACACTGCGTTAAGCGATCTGTTCGAGAACGATCTCGATCACTTTGAACGGAATAAATACGCAAGGTGCGGCGACAGTGTGCTGAGTTTAAAACTGAACTGCACATAGTCCAGGGGGATTGGGTTAGAGTTGGCCTGCAATTAAAAACATTATGAGCAGTAGTAAGAAGATGGAGACATACCATTTCCATTCGGCATGGGAAGAACAATTTTTCTTTACAGAAGTTAAAAGTAAAAATGTATGTTTGTTATGTAATACATCTGTTTCCGGTGCTAAAAAACGGAATATAGAGAGGCACTATAAAGCTGTACATTCGAATTTTAAAAAACCATCCCCATTACGTTCTGCAACCAGAACGGAAAAACTGAAACAATTAATAAATCAGTTAAATCTACAACAGACAATGCTTTTAAAAGCAATCGACAAAGGTAAGGCTGTAACTGAAGCATCATACCGGGTGTCCCAGATAATAACACAAAAGAAGAAACCTTATGAAGACGGAGAAATGAACAGGTTCTTTAGGGGCTGCAGATTCACTATTTTGCCAACTTTAGAAATAAAGACAAGATCACTATCTTGACTCAGACACTTCTGATATAGAATCTATGCAACTTTCTGCTAAGACAGTGATGAGACGAGTAAAAGCAAATAGAAGAAATGACTTCGATAACTGTGCTTAGTTATCACTGCAGCTCTATTTATCCACAGATGTCATTGACACCTCTCAGATGGCCGTGTTCGTCGGGATGGTTTTTATTGATTTTACGATTAGCGAAGATCTTTTGAAGTTTATTCCACTAAAAGGACAGACTACTGGACAGGACTTGTTCTCTTCTTTTAAAAACATTATTTCTTCTCAGAAAATTCCAATATCTAAATTTGTAGGAATGACAACCACTGGCGCTCCAGCTATGGTGGGTCGTGATAAGGATCTCGTGGGGTTATCTCGTAAAGGTGAGAGTTTTCCGCAATTTCTCTGTTACCACTGCATTATCCATCAGCAAGCATTATGAGGACATTTTCTAAAACCCAACAACGTTATGAAATTGGTAGTGAAAATTGTGAACACGATTAGAGCTCAAGCTTTACAAAGATTATTCAAAACCTTGGCCGATGAAATTGACTGTCAATACGGGGAACTACTTCTTCACTATATGGTCCGATGGTTATGTAGGGGACGAGTGCTTACACGTTTTAATGATATCGTATCTGCCATACTTCAGTTTTGGAAACAATGTGCTGAACTGATTCCAGAACAGGAAAATTCAATCTGGCTTAGAGATTTTGGTTTTCTCATGGATATTACAGAAAAATTAAATAAACTTAATTTGTAGCTTAAGGGGAGAGATAAATAACTAGCAGAAATGATTTCTGATATAAAAACTTTTATCAAAAAGCTTGAGTTTTGGGAACAAAACTTAATCGTTGGCGATACCAGGCATTTTTCTGTTCTTTCGGAAAATATATCTCAAAGTCCATTAGAACCATATGACAGTAAATATCATGTAGAAAAGGTCTCTAACTTGAAGCATAACTTCAAAAATCATTTCAAGGATTTAAACGAAATTGCTATAGTGGCGCAAGTTGTGGTTTCACCCTTCATGGAAATTGATATCCAACACTTTGCAACTTCTGTTACGCAGAATTTTAGCGAAGACATCGCTGCGACAGAAATTTCAGACAGAAGTTTCAAAATGATTTGCTTTAAAATTATTAGTCTCAAATACAAAATGTATCTGACATTCAGTAAGTAAAGATAAATATTCAGTTTTATGTCATGTTGTCTTGAAAGTGAAAGCGTTATCTAGTTCAACCTATTTGTGTGAATCTTCTTTTTCAAACATAAAGTTTATTAAAAACAAATACCGTAATCGACTTACAAATGAACATTTGGATAATTGTATTCTAATGGCGGTATCAAATCATACTCCAAACATTAAAAAAATTGTCAGTGAGTCTGAGTGTCAGCCTTCTCATTAAGCATGCATTTTTTATCTGGACATGCTTTTGTTTAAAATAGTGCGTTGCTTTTTTTATTTGTAGTAACCTTTATTAAATCGTATGTGACATGCCATTGTAGCTGACGAATTTTTTTTTTATTTTTCAAAGACCTACGATTGATAGGAATAGATGTAGTTATGCAGTATGTATTAGTTGCTAGTTTATTTAAGTTTGTTAGTATGTATTAGTATTAGTAAACTAAACACATGTAAGGTCGCATACAACTGTGTACGAGTATAATTTCATTTAAGTTGACTTACATTGCTTACGGCTAGGTAGCTCACTGTTTATTCCAAGATTATCAAAGTAGCTCAATACACTGAAGAGGTTGGCGAGGTTAGCTCTAATAAAGTATCATGAAAAGTACCTAAGGATGCTATCTTACTTCATGGCATTACGTTCAGTTAGGTTACATTAAGTGAAATTTGAAAGACTACGCACGGCAAGTCGTTAAAGGTTATCCATCGAAGTGACATGCCTAGATGTTGGATTAAATGACTAGGCCGCTATTAGAACGGATAGTTAGACTTTTAGGCTGCGAGATACACAACATGTGGATTTCGGAAACCGCGGCAATATATTTGTCATAATATAGACAGGAACGATTCACATAAACAAGGTTAATAAATGTCCCCTTGAAGAGATGCAGAATGATGAAGTTGTAACTTCGAAACCGAAAATTTGTGACTTCCGGGTGGATTGAGTTATTGACTTAAAGTTTTTGTGGCTGACACGATACAGGTGAAAATTATCTCATATGCCACTGACTCATTAGGAACATTTAAATAAGGTATCCAATTTTACATAAATGGCTTCTGTTGAGAAATTTCTTTCGACTAGACTTTTTGGAGTAATACTGGTTGAAATATTTGAGGTAAAAACGTATATGAAAAGTTTCAACTCGTTATATTTTGAAAATACGCTGAAGTTAGCAAAATTTGTCCTTGAACATTGTTTGCAATGTATTATTAAAGTAATCCTACCCTACAATAGCGCTATTTCAACAATGATGATGCTTTGGCCCTATCCAGTCTCTTCAAAACACCCTGTATTTTGGTAATGATACAGCTTAGGGCATATGTGTATGGTCTTTTCGATATGTTTAAGTTTACTCTCTACATATATTTTATGGTCACCTCGTGCAGTGTCTAAGTGCATTCATTGTACTGGTGCACATGTAA